GCCTCAACGTACGCCGTTCTTTGTTGTTGACCACCGTTCGACATCTTGTCCTTATCGTTACTCTATATCAATGTATTAATAAATTAACTTTATTATTTTTTAAATAAAAATAAATAAAGTAATGAATAAATAAATAAAAATTAAAAATAAATAAATCAAATAAATAAAATAAAAAGAATCGATTCTTCTATCGACATATATCATATGTATTAAACGTCATTTGTATATTAGATATAGAAATAGATATAGAAATAGAGATAGAGATAGAGATAGAGATAGAGATAGAGATAGAGATAGAGATAGAGATAGAGAGAGAGAGAGAGAGAGAAATTATTTATCAAATTAATTTTATTAATTATTTCATAGGAAAAAAAAAATAAAGAATCATGATCGAGCGAGAAATAAAAATTTCATGAAAAGAAAAAAAAAAAAGAAAAAATTCTTGCTCACCGTAAAATTTTATCAATCCATCAATATACGTATCAATATATTAAATAATTTTAATTCTAAGAGAATATTAAAATTTTATCGCGATAACATTAATATAAAGTAAAAATATTATATATAATATTGTTCGTTGGATAAAATAAAAATACGTGTTAAATATTATAAAACGCTAATCCAATTGTATCTCGATCCCAACGTGATATCTCGTGACGTCGAACAATAAAAGCAAACTCACGTCGTCTTCAATGTTTCTCTAAAAATATCCCGCCAATAACACAATACGAGACATTTCTATAATAATAATAATCGTAAAAAAAAAAAAAGAAAAAAAAACGTAGAGACTACGTATGAGTGGTGGTGGAGGTAAATTCAGTACTCGCAACGATTCGTTATTTTACCAACGAAAAAAGAGAAAAGAAATAAAATATATATATATATATATATATATATATATATATATATATATATATATATGACGCTGATATCTTTCTCGTTTAAAATAAATCTCGACGGATCTAACGACTCTCCGGTTAATAATTTTTTTAACGATCCCGAATAAAAACATAACGATGAAACATGAAAAACCAATGCCAACCTACGAAATGAAACTTTCGAAAATTCCGCTTGAACGATCGATGTACAACGTGAATCAAATCAATCTTTATAAGCTAATATACAAATATTGATTTAGAAAAAAAAAAGAAAAAAAAAGGAAAGAAAGAAAGAGAGAAAAAAAATTCATCGAATTCAAGAATTAAAAAAATCGTTCATTAATATTTTTTATTTCCTTTTCTAACGTTTAAAAATACAATATTTCTCTCTCTCTCTCTCTCTCTCTCTCTCTCTCTCTCTCTCTCTCTCTCTCTCTCTCTCTCTCTCCACCTATCTCTCTCTTTCGCTCTCTTATAATTCAACACAAATCGATCTACGTGATACATATACGTGTTAGTTTAGCAGAGTAGAAGTAGAAAAAAAAAAGAATATTATAAAAATATAAAAAAATATTCTTTTCCTTTTATAATTTAAACGCAATATAATTTTCGATCATACATACATACATACATACATACATATACAGATACGCACACACACTTACATACATACATATATACAGTACATAAATAAATAATTCCTTTGACAAAATTGAAATAAATTACTCTATATAATAAGTATATTAGTCGGCGAATATAAATTCGCTAAGTAGAAACAAGAAATGATTGTTTCTTTCTCTATCTCACGGATCGATAAGAGTTTAACCAAGAAAAAAAAAAAGAAAAAAGTCAAGAACTGCGCGTCGTGGTTGTCCCGATATATATTATTATATATATACGGTGACTTCGCTTGTGTACGCCGTCAAGGTCCTCGAGAAAAGAACGATGACCGAAAAGAAAGACGGGGAGGAGATGAAGGAGGTGAAGAAGGTGAATCCCCACCCTCCAACCCTCGTGACAGACGCACAGTACAGCGTACACGTACATACATATATCATACATCATACATACATCATACACACATACATACAGGGTCAAACATTTTTTCCGCGCCTCTTTCGAATAAACTTCGAAGTTACTCTTTTCTCGTAACGCATATGAAGGAAACTTTTGATATTAAACGATGACACGGAAAAATAACGAAATAACAATTACTCATTGTTCGAATTCTACATACTTCGCGCGTTGATTGGTAAAAAATGAACTAACCTATAGGATGTATCTTCTTGAGGGGGAAAAAAAAAAGAAAAAGAAAAAAGAAAATAAAATAAATAAATAAATAAATAAAGGATAATTCCAATAAAAGGAATTTCTTTTCTTATATTTTGTTTTTTTCTTTTAATCGTCCTATACTTCGTTTCATTGATCGACGTAATTTCGATAGAGAAAAGAAATCTTTCGAAAGTCTTGATCAATGAGAAGTTAACAAAATGATTCAGCAAGAAAAAAAAAAGAAACAATCGATACTAACGATCATATAAATATCATTGAAAATAATGATAATTATTCATTGATCGAATTCTATATTCTACATGTTACGAAATTCATTTATAATTGGTCATTGATTAAAAGTAAACTAACCAATAGGATGCCTTATTCACAAAAAAAAAAAATAATAAAGGAAAATATATAAAGCTCGCCAAAATATATTTATTGATCAATATAATTTCGAAATAAAAAATATGAAAGCGAGATCAACGAAATGATCGATAAAAAAAGAAAAAAAAAAGAAACGATACCAAAAATTACGTTGTAAATAATAATTATTTATTGCTCGAATTCTACATAATTCGCGTTATGATATACGTATTTATTAATGATTGATCATTGATCAAAAACTAACCTATAAGATGTAGCTTCTTGGTTAGAAAAAATTAATAAATAAATAAATAAACAAATAATGCTCACTAATGATACGAATTTTTATGATCATTCCTATTTCTCGATTTATCGATCGATGTAATTTCTAAAGAGAAGAAAAAAATCTATCGAAAATTTCGATCGCTCGATTAATAAAACGATTGAAAAAAGAAAAAAAAATCGATACTAATAAACGCATTGTAAATAATAATAAATATTCATTAGAAAATTGAATTTCATATTTTTCACGATACAATGTAGGTATGTATCAATAACCGGATTGGTCATTGGCCAAAAGTAAACTAACCAATAAAACGTATCTGTTGGATCAAAAGAAAAAAATAAAAAAAAAAATAAATAAATAAAAGAGAAAATAAAGCTCACTAACAAAACGAATTGTTTTTAATCGTCCTACATCTCTATTTATCGATCGATATAATTTCATAAAATAAAAAAAAAAAATAAAAAGATAAATAAATAAATTAAATATACAAGAAAAAAAAATATCTCAAAAATTTCGATCGAGATTTAAAAGAAAAAGAAGAAAAAAAAAAGAAGAGAAACGAGATTAACCTAATCAAACAAACAAAAGAAAAAAAAAACAAAAAAAGAAAAGAAAAAGAATCGATACTAACGATGTCGCCGCGTTGTATTAAAACAAAAAATTAGATGATCCAGCCAGCGATAAATCCAGGTTAATTCGATGTCGTATCGTCCCACAATGATCTTGTTGAACGACGAAATTCCTTTCGTAAATCCAAATTCGACGATTGTACGTAATCCTGGCGGCACATTGAAAATAAACACACTTCTTCAAATCCTTTTTGGTTAATCCTCGAAATGATTCATTCCGAACGAAACCAATGGACGAATGGAACGAACGAACGAACGAACAATGAAAAATTCCAAAAGAAATGTGAACGTTACGTTGCTGCAAGTTGATTTCTTGTGACGATTCACGACAATAACAACGACGACAACGACAACAACGACAACAACGATAACGACGATAACGACGACGACGATGACGATGACGATGACGATGACAACGACAAAGTTGTCCCTCCTGTTGCCCCTCCTCTCCTCTCCTCACGCGATTTATCTCTTACCCATGAAAACGAAATTCTTTCGATAAAGGGATAAATAAAAACCAAAACAAAAAAAAAAAAAAAAAGAAACAGAGATAGATATATAGATAGAGAAAGAGAGAGATAGAGAGAGAGAGAGAGAAAAAGAATTTCTCTTCGTAAGAAAATTTCGACGAATTTTTCTTTCGTTGGATGAACTTGAAAAAGAGAGAGGGAAGAAAAAGAGAAAGAGAAAGAGAAAGAGAGAGAGAGAGAGAGAGAGAGAGAGAGAGAGAGAGAGAGAAAGAGAAAGAGAAAGAAACAGAGGATACAGGTAGAGAAGTAGAGAAGAGGAGTACCGGCACTCGCGGAGGGAACCGGACCCTTCTATTCGCGACGCGACGAAAGAATCTCTCTTGCGACGTTACGAGAGGGAAAGAGGGCTTCCGAAAGAGCGTACCGCGCTGTGCTGTGCTGAGCTGCCCGCCGATTCCAGGCGCGGGAGGATGCAAGGACAAAGAGACGAAAAAAGCGACTGGCTCTTCCTCCCCGCCAACGGCGTCGCCGCTAGACTAGTCGAGAGAGAGAGAGAGAGAGAGAGAGAGAGAGAGAAAGAAAGAGAGAGAGAGAGAAAGAGACGAGACGAACGAGACGGAGAAAGAGAGAAAGAGAAGGAGAGAGAGAGAGAGAGAGAAAGAGAGAGAAATATAGCTATGTGAAAAAGAAAGAGAGAGAGGCATACGTACGTATACACATAGCAGCACGCAAGCAGTATAAGAGAAAGAGAGAAAAAGAGAGAGAGAGAGAGAGAGAGAGAGATGATTCAGAGAAAGGAAGAAAAAGAGAGACGGATAGAGAGAAAGGGAGCAGACGAAAAGAGAGGGGGAAGATGTCGGGTGACACACGGATGCAGCCGCGTAACGATATCGAATGGGGGGAAGGTCCCCGTTCGGAATGCACCCCGCAAAAGAGACAGTTACAGAGAGAGAGAGAGAGAGAGAGAGAGAGAGAGAGACGCGCCTGCGTCGCACGCCATGTCTAGCCTCTGCGTAGAATATACATATGTAAACGTGCGTGTGTGTCTGTATGTGTGTGTGTACGCATTCGTGCGTGTAAGCTGCGTGAGTAAACCAAAGAACTTATGGGTGGCCATGCACGCACGCGCGCACGTCTTTGCACCGATGATCTTTCTTTCTTTCTTTTTTTCCTTCTTTCTTTCCTTCCTTCCTTCTATATGTATACGCACGCGACCAACACAAATAATAAACAAGAAACAATGAGCACACATACACGCGCATATATATATATATATAGGTAGATAGGATAGATAGATAGATAAATAGATATTAAGTCTACGTTTCCTATAAAGCATTTTACTTGCGCTTTCTATATTTCTCTGGGATATGGCTTTGCGGTTGTTCCAACGGGATTTCTTTCCCTATCATCTATATATGTTTTTATATATATATATATATATATATATATATATACATATATGCACGTTCATATATATATATATATATAAAGCATGTGTGTTCATATATTTATATATTATGTATGTAAGTGTATGTGACGCATGTACGAATATGCTATTAGGAAGCATAGCAGAAAAAGAGATAGAGAAAGAAAGAAAGAAAGAAAGAAAGAAAGAAAGAAAAAGTGAGTGAGAGAGAGAGAGAGGGGGGGCAAGAGTAAACGCAAAATGATGGATCTGTTCGTTGTCTTATGGAACGAAAAGGGACACGACGAAGGGAACGATCAGTAGCGTCGTTGTCGTCGTGGTGCGTCGGCCCGTTGACCTTGACACTGACATTGAGAGAGAGATAGAGAAAAAGAGAGAGAAAGAGAAGGGCAAGAGAAAGGGAGATTCGAGCGTCCTCATAGGGACTTGGCGGATTGTTAGGCCAGACTGAAACTGAAAGAGAAAGAGACAGAAAGTGGGAGTCTGGCTGATTTTTCGAGCTATCTCGTCGAATGTTCTCTCTTTCCTCTCACTCTCACTCTCATTTTCTCTCTCTCTTTCTCTCTCTCTCTCTCTCTCTCTCTTTCTCTCTCTCTTTTTCCCGAGGTAGCCTCTTACACACGCGTTTACTAGCGAGGTCGGCCGATTGCGAGCAATCCGGGCCATCCCTGGAATCGAAACAGGTTTTCGAAGGGTCGAGAAAGAGAGATAAAGAAACAGAGAAAAAAGAGACAGAGACAGACAGACAGAGAGACAGAGAAAGAGAGAGAGAGAGAGAGAGAGACTACAGGGGCGGGGGCACAGCCAGTTAGCCAGCTCCTCTCTCGCTGCACCTGTGCCCGGGGAGAAATCGGACGATCTGAACGAGAGAGAGAGAGAGAGAGAGAGAGAGAGAGAGAGAGAGAGAGAGAGAGAGGGAGTGAAAGAAAGAGGGAGAGAGAAAGAGATAGGTAGATATATAGAGAGTGAGAGAGAGAGAGAAAGCGTCTGAGGGAATTAGGGAGGGGGTACGCCGATCGGAAGATGCTCGAAGCGGAGCAGACGTGAAGAGGGGGAGGATGCACGGAGATCCGTCCGGCCCGCCCGGGAACCGGCCGTATTTTAAACGCTTTCAAAGCCAAAGAGATCAAATATGAGGGAAAGAAAAAAGAAATGGAAAAAAGGAAAAGAATAAGGGGAAGGGGAAAAAAACCGAGAGAATGTGGAACGAAATATGTACATATTTACTAGTTAACTGTGAAAAAAAATTCTTAGGAGGATATATCCTGCGTGTGTATATGTGAGAGAAAGAGGGAGAGAGAGAGAGAGAGAGAGAGAGAGAGAAAAGAGAAAGAAAAAAAAGAGAAAAAGAGAGAGAAAAGAAAAATGAGAGAAAAGAAAAAAGAGAGAAAAGAAAAAAGAAAGAGCGAGAGAGAGAGAGAGAGAGAGATTTCAATGTTCGAGATCAAATATTACATATAAAGTACATATGTATTTCAAACATAACCTATATCTACGGCACTTATACATCTCTCTCTCTCTCTCTCTCTCTCTCTCTCTCTCTATTTCTTGACTTTTTTTGTTATAATATACACGTACTTTTATGTACGTATCGATGACCGAGAAACGCGAGTAAGTGTATAGGGTCCTACTCTCAACCGGACCCGTCGCACACTGCCTTTAGTAGTCCTTTCCCGTTTAAAACGCACATGTCGTCTGGCTACATATGTACATCGGACAAAGATAAAGTAGATATAGAAGACATGAGAAGGATCACAACGGGGGACGGCGGACGGTACTGGATGCTGCTGGAGTATGGCAATGGGGAAGGGGAAGGGAGAGGAGGAAGAGTGGAACGTAGACTACGACGAGCCAAAGGAGAGACTTTCGCTTTCTGTACGCGACGTAGCCTAGCAGAGTCCACGGCCGATCAATAGCGCCGCGACGACGGTTAACTCTACACCCCCCTCCCCTCTCACCACTCCTCTCATCCTCATCCTCATTCTCATCCTCACTCTCACCCTCAAACCTCATACTCCTCCCAGTGTCTCTACCGACCAACCCAACCCATAAAATCCATCCATCCATCCATTCATCTATCCATCCATCCATCCATCCATCTATCCATCCATCCATCCATCCATCCATCCATCCATCCATCCATCCATCCATCCATCCATCCATCCATCCATCCATCCATCCATCCATCCATCCATCCATCCATCCATCCATCCATCCATCCATCCATCCATCCATCCATCCATCCATCCATCCATCTATCCAACCAACCAACCAACCAACCAACTAACCGCCCACCAACCCACCTAAAAATCTCACGCGTTTGTGTGAGGGTGGAATTATCGAGATCCTGCTTCGTCGAATGAAACTGAAACGAAAATGACGAGAAGAGGGTGTTCAGGGAGAAGAGCAAAGAGAAGTCAAACAGAGAAGAGGAAAAGAGGGGCAAATCAAGGACCTCCGGCTGGCTACCGATCGCATAAACGGCTCTCTTTTGCGCCCTTGCCCTCATCCTTCTTCCTTACTCACACACTACTCTTACATATACATACATATGCATACACACTCAATCACATATTATCCTCTTCTTCACCTCTTTCCTCCTTCATCTTCTCCTCTCTCTTTCTCTCTCTCTCTCTCTCTCTCTCTCTCTCTCTCTCTCTCTCTGGCTTTCTCTCTCTCCACTAAACACTCCAACTGGAGTTCCATAGGTTTTACATAGGTGCGAAGTAGCCTGTCCCACAATCGAAGAACTTTTCTTTTTACGTCGAATTTAAACGAGCGTATTTTTATTCTACTCTCGGTTCCTCACAGGCAGCCTTTTCCCAATGCGTTTCAATAATAAAACAAACGCGCCTGTGAACACGTGAGAGAGAAAGAAAGAGAAAGAAAAAGACTGAGTGAGAGAGAGAGAGAGAGAGAGAGAGAGAGAGAGAGAGAGAGAGAGAGAATCATCATCGAATATCTCTTTTTTACTTCTTTCCCTTTTTAATACAATGGAAATTAATATGTTTACAGGCAGTTTTTTAAAGTCTTTGATGTTCCATCTGAAGTATATAAATTGTATTTGATCTTTTATACGTTCATCTAGAGTTTTGTGATTGATCTTTAAAAAGTCAAGATAGACAGAAATTTTATAATTTTTATAATACCATCGAATATATTTTCCTCTTGGCATGTGAATTAAATCATTATTGTATTATAATCGATGGTTAAATATGTAATGTATGTTAAAGGTAAGATATATTTTATTGCATAGAAATCTTTGTCAATACTTTGTCTCACCTGATTTGTTACAGATGCAGCAAGATTCTTCAAACTATCAGCATAATTTTTCAATACTGTATCCGTGGTCATGCAGCTTACACGAAATTCATAGAACATATCCAGTTTGTACACGCATCTCTGACAGATGTTCTTTGGAAGTGCATCCTCCTTTGTTATCTTTAACAGATTTAAGAATCATAATGTTAGTAAATGCAATAGTAATAATTTTTCATTTGTCTTTATTGAAATGGTATAAGTTAGCTTGACACAGAATATACAATTTCAAGCTAAACATTCTAATGTTATTATCAATAAAAATCTTCTTTAACGTTCTATAAACGTTTGCTTAATATCTTTACACTTTGATTTATCCTACATTTAATTTCAACATTTCTATCAATCCTTAACATTTCTATATCGAATGAATAATATATTTTTCTGTTAAAAAGTATGACTTTTCCTAACCTATAATTACACATACTTTTATTTTTATAATTACAATTATATCAATCTATCTAATTATTAATTCACGTATTGCGTATAGCTTGAAAAGAATAAATAGGTTAATTCTAAAATGAACTGAGATATCTTCAAGATGTGAAAGAAAGAAAGAAAAAAAAAACAGGACAAAAGAAAGAAAACAATAAAAGGTTTAATTCCTAACTTATAGTATATTAATAATTTAATAAATACTTACCACGGCGGGAATGCAAGAACGTATTTTAAAAAGTAATTGACGCTGTTCGCCCTCTTTGTCGAATATCTGTAAGTGATGATTGCTTTTCAACGAACAGAGCCTACAGAGCTCGGCAAAATTAAAATCCTCGCTCATTGCCATTGTTTGGAAAATTGGAACTAAAAACACGAACGCTCGAAATAGGTTATGGCCGTAAACACCGCACGCGACTTTCTCACGCACGTCTCACTTCGCATCGATGAGATATTTCGAAGTGAAAAAAAATTACTAGTCCTTCCTGATCGTAGCTGATAAAACCTCGATCAGACTGCTGGCATGACGCGTATGTGTACGAGTTATCGTTAAAAAATTAAACTTCAAAAACGGAAAGTACCGAGGGGGGCCGCCATCTTTGTCCCTCACCCCTTTTTAATCCTCCTTAAAAAAATGATCTTGAAAACAAGCGAGAAGTTCGAACGATTTCATTGGTCGGGAGGAAATACGATGATGACCGGTCAATAACGTAGGAATCTTGCGGTGGGTCAAATCAAACCAACGATATTTCATTATTCGTACGAAAGATGGCGCTTGTTTACTCTCATCCTAATAACGCACAATAATACATATTAGAGAATTATCTGACGATTTAAATTAAAAACATTGTGATAAAATATATATCCTAATTAAAAATAATTTATTAATCGTAAAGATATTTATTAATCGTCGTTTTTATATTGAAATGTATTAATATTTTAATATAAAAAATATTTTTAAAAATCTACATAATATCCAATGGTGATACATTTAGAAATTATTTAAAAGAACAAAAATGTAACTTCTACGATTCGTTAATTCTTCTTAGAAGAAGAGAAAACGAAAAAAGAAAGAGGAGAAAAGAATACAGAGGAAAGAAGAAATAAAAAAAAAAAAAGAAATAAAATAAAATAAAATAAAATAAAAACAAAAGAATGAGCAAGAAAAAATGTCGAATGTATTTCATTACTTAGCGATTAATCATTGATAAATAAAACATAGAAAATATTTATAGAACAAGGATTATAGAACACGATGTCTATCGAGTTGCATGCTACTAAAGAATTAATAAATTATATGTATACGATCGTGCAACGATATTCATCGACAGAAAGATTTTGACGTAACGAAACGCGTGTTGCTTCAGTACGATACCAACCTTTCATCGTTTGCGTTCAATGATATTTCAAAGAGAAAAGAGAGAGAGAGAAAGAGAGAGAGAGAGAGAGAGAGAGAAACGTAATCGTTCTTAAAAAAATAAAAAACAAAAAAAAGAAATTCGAAAAAACATGCGTAAATCATTGAAAGGATGTTGCACCGTGATTACATTTTTGTGTGCCGTCATTATGATAACTATTGGTATAGTAATGATGAATAATCAAACGTTGTCGACGTATCTATTAAAAAGAATACGTTCGGTATGGGACAATGTTTATGATCCTAATGAAATAATAAATATTAATGAAGATATCATTGATCTTATTTCTTTCTTTTTTGTTTTTTTTTTATTTTTTTTTTGTTTTTTTTTTTATCATAGGAAAAAAAATTAATAGACAATACGATAATTTATAATATTTGGTCGTCGCCTCTGAATCTTACCTTAAATATCTACTTGTTCCATGTTGAAAATCCGGATGATGTGTTAAATGGAGAATTACCGAAGCTTACGGAACGTGGTCCTTACGTTTACGAGTAAGTAATTCATATAATTAATTAATTGTTATTATTATTTTTAATAAAATTATTTATTAAGGTTGAATAAATTACGAGTATATAATTAAGGTATATAATTACGTAAGCATATACTGTAATTTATTTAACTTGTAAATAATTTTATTTAATTTACTATACTAATAATTAATATACCAATAACAAGTATAAATACGTGGATATAATTTGGTTCTTTATTTTTTTTTTTCTTTTATTTTATTTTATTTTATTTTTTTTTTTTTTTCTTACAGCGTAATCTTTGAAAAAGATATACTGAGCGTAAATGATATACGAGATGAAATAATTTACAATATCAAAAAGACATATTACTTCAACGAAGAGAAAACTGGCGAACTTTTGGAGAACGATGAAGTTGTCCTTTTAAATATGGCCTATCTCGGTGCGATAAACACGGTAAACTTTATCGTATCTAATTTTAAATGTAAAAAGAAAATGAATGAATAAAAAAGATAACCGATATATCATTAATTTATTTATGTTCTCATTAAAAGCTCGCGGGTTTTTCGCCTAACTTGCTCCAACAATATGGCGATTATATAAGGATGTTATTCCCCCAAGAGAATCCTCTTTTTATCAAAGCAAAAGTTAAAGATATAATGTTCAGTGGTGTATCTTTTATATGCGATATTAAAAAACATAAAAAAATGAAATTAATCTGCCTGACGCTAAAGGGTAGAAAACTACCGATCTTATGGAACACTGAAATTGAAAATAATTACATGTACAGCCTCTTCGGCACGGTATACATTTATATCATTTTTATTTTATTATAATTATAAATATATGTAGATTTATATTTTGTAACATTTATAATATATATATATATATATATATATATATATATATATATATATATATATATATTCATCTATATATATATATATATATATATATATATATAGATGAATGGAACCTGGGTTGGTCCAATCAGTATTAACAGAGGTGTAGAAAATGAAACAAAAGTAGGGAATATAATGTCGGTATATAATAAACGAAAGAATAAATATTGGATAACCGAAGAATGTAATATTATTAAAGGATTGGATGGTATGATTTTTCCTTATTACAAGGAACCACCACAGCGTATTTATTTTTACGGTATCGAAATTTGTCGGTAAGAAAATATTGCATAAAAAAAAAAAAAAAGAAAAAAAAAAGAAAGAAAGAAAGAAAAAAATAACATTGTTTTAACGTAACATTGATTCTTTCGTTATCTCGTTTCCAGAACTACATTTATGGAATTCAAGGGAGTTGAAAAGTTCTATCAATTCGAGGCATGGCGATACGTTTACACAAACGAAAGTTGGAGTAATAATGAGACCGATTGTTATTGTCCAACTGTCAAGCACGAAAAAACATGTCCACCTATGGGTCTCATGGACGTTAACAAGTGCATGGTAAATTTTATAGTATTTAAAATATAATAACAAAGTAATATTGAAGTGAATTATTGTATCGTATATGTACATATATATGTAAATATATATATATATATATTTTTTTTTATTTTATTGTTACTTTTAACTTCTCCAAAACGAATCAATGTAAGAATGAATTGTTCTACAATTTTTCTTTCTTTTTTTTTTTGTTGTTTCATATAAAAATATTTCTGCTATTAGGTACCATCCTTTTTTCTTTTTTTTTTTTGATAGTTCAATCTTTAATCGTATTTTCTTTTTTTTTTTTTTTCTTTACAGAAACTACCTGCGTTACTGTCCGAGCCTCATTTTCTTCACGCCGATCCCAAAATATTAGATTACGTGCCTGATTTGAATCCAAATGAGGAATTTCATTCGAGTTCTGTATTGATCGACACGCTTACTGGTAAACCTTTTCATGGTCATAAAAAAATGCAAATAAATATGAAGATATCACCGTATCCAATCGAATTGCTTGCCAACGTCACCGAGGGTTACTTTCCGATTATTTGGATAAGCGAGGTTTGATAATTATTTATAATAATAATAACAACAACGATCATGATGATAATAATTCAACATTGTTTTATTTCTTTGATCTATTAGAAGGAGGAATACCAACCCTCTATCGATCATTTACAAAATTATAATACTAAATATATATATATATATATATATTTGTATCTGTGTATGTAATTATATATTACACATAATTTATATTGCATAAAATTTGATATATATATATATATACATACATATAATAATACATATAATAATACTCTTTCACACAAATAATTAATTCCAGGAACTCATAAAGGGTTATAATCATAGAAAAAAATTACAATCAATTAAAATATTAATTACGACTTAAATCGTTACAGATCTAACGATAAATCCGAGCGATTAAAGATACTTGAATAAAAGAAAAAAGAAAAAGAAAAAAGAAAAAAAAAGACAGAAAGAAAAAAAAAGACATAAGAATAAAATATTTTCGTTCTACAATAAATTATAAATAATATGTTTTAGGGTATAACCGAGGATAAGAAAAATCTCAATTTGATGTTCATGATTTACAAGATCAAAAATATTATATCGATCTTGCAATGGCTACCAATAGTCATCGGTGGATTTTTACTTCTTTTGTTACTATTATGCTACAAATTGCCAATACCAAGAAGGAAGGTACGATCGATCGATCCGATGAAAAAAATTAATACAACTTTGGTACACTCGGATATACACGAATAATATTTAACATATAGAACAAACGTACGTCCTAAATAAATATTCGACTATTATCTGGTAATTAATACATAGAACAAAAGAGATATATAATTATTGATATATTTTTGAACTTTCGATTTATGTTTTATCATTGTTGTCCCTCTGTTTTTCTTCTTTTCTTTTTTCTTTCTTTTTTCTTTTTCTTTTTGTTTTTTTGTTTTGTTTTTTAATTAAAATATCCCATCTGTTTGTTCGTTTATAAAAAAAAAAAAAAAAAAAAAAAATGTTTATAAACGAAAACTTCGTCATTTATGAATAACAATTCTTACATAAATGTGCGAATGGCGTTATATAATAAACTATTTACACTTAAATTTTTTTTTATATTATGCGTTATTAAGGCGATATTTCATTCAATTGACGAAAGCAATTGAAATGTCGTATTTAAGTTATCATTTTAATTTATGACAATCTTAATCGTACGATACGATTAAATTGATTATTTGTTCAGCATTAAAATTAATTAATTAACAATGGAAATTCTTATTTCGAACGAATTAAAATATCATTTTGCTATATATTTCGTGAATGATTAAAATTCGCAGATCTGGCGATTTATTCCGTTTACACGTCGTAAATTGTCAAAAAAAAATGACAAATTATTATTAAATAAGAATTCAATCGATTAAAATTGAATAGTTAATTACGAATAGATAATGAAATATTTTTTCAATTGCGATCATTAATCGTTAATTAAAATTAAATATTGCTTGGCAACGCTTTTATGCATACATATGTACATTTCTTAAAATTAAAATTTATACGAAAAAAAGAATTATTGATTTTTAAATCAACATGATAGGCAGATCGAATGTAATCAAAAATGGTACGATATTAAAGAAGAAATCGATCATGAAAAAAAAAAAGAAGAAGAAAAAAAAAAGAAAAAGAAAACAAATAAAGAAATAATTTTTAATTAGATATACGATTTCAAAGGTATTATCAATTATTTAAAGTTCAATCTGCATATCTATAATATTAATAAACGTTAAATAAACATATATATATATATATATATATATATATATATATATATATGCACCTGCGAAATATGTATATAAAATGTACATATCTACACAAAATAGAAACAAAAAGAAAACATTATTATAATAAATTCTTAAGATCCATTTCATTTAAGAATTATTTCCCTAATGGATAGAAATAACTAACAAATTGTTTATTGCCTGACGCACGAAAAATTACAAACAATGAGCTCACAAATGAATATTATTATTGCATTTTATTCTTTATCTTTCCCTTTATCATCACCACCAAACTGAAAATATTTTTATTTTCTTATCACTTTTTCGTATTATCCTCATAGAAATTTATCCTCATATTGTTTTTAGATATATGGCAAGTAATGTCGCGTAAATAGAAAAAAAAAAGAAAAAAAAAAAAAAAAAGAAAAGAAAAAAAAAAGAAGAAAAATAAGAAAAAGAATAAAAGCAAATTATCGCTTTATCATCGTGAGTTAATGCTTTTTATATGCTTTGATGATATCCTTTATCGATATCCAAGATCCAAATATCAATGCCATCATCGAAAATATAAGTAACATAATATTTTTAATTAGTCTCCACTTAAAGGTACCCAAATGTCCGTCCCAGCATGAAATTGTTTCAACCATAACGGGTATGCTGATGCCAAGAATGGAAAAAAATATTGCACCTACCAGAGAAATGAACGGCTCCAATTCTTGCACGCTCACCGCTACACCGACTGAAGAGCGAAGGAGAGGGAGAAACAGAGAGAGAGAGAGAGAGAGAGAGAGAGAGAGAGAGAGAGAGAGAGAGAGAGAGACAGAGAAAGAGAAAAAAAAGAAAAGAAAAATTATAAGAAGAGAAAAATTATAAATAATTGTAATTTTATAATTTCGTTTAGTACAGAAGAAGAAGAAAAAAAAAAAGAAAAATAAGAAAATGAAAAATGAAAAGAACATGAAAAAAAATGTGCGTTATTGTTTGAAACATAAATTACAAATGATAAAAATACTTATTGTTTATTATGCCTCTCATTAAAAAAATCGTTGATATTATGTTCTTTAATAATATTTGAGAACTTCCCTATTCATATTTTTTTTATAACTATTTCTATTGTACAATACATAATAATAATAGAATGAAATGAAAGATTACGAAAAGAAATTATCATATTGCAGTTAAAAAAGATATTCTGACGTACTCGTACTTGTATTATTATAATGAAAAAAAAAAATATGACAAAAAGGAAAAAAAGGAGAAAAAAGGCATTGAAAAAACGAATAAAATGGTCGCATGCACAGTACAAAGACAAAAGTCGCCGAAGTTTTTTTTAACTGCGTAACATTTTCTTTTTTTTTTTTTTCTTTTTTCTGTTTCTTTTTCGTTCCGCTGTACTTAGTAAATCTTCGCAAAATTTATCTCTTCAGTATATACATATTTAAATGTCCTTAAATAAGGTATGGTAATTGGTCCGTTTATTATCGTTAAGAATGAAGGAAATAAATTGACGAAATGGTAAAAAAAAAAAAAGAAAAAAAAAAAAAGAAAAAAAATGAAGGAAAGAAAAAAAAATTGAATTCTAAATACGGCATGTAACTAGATTGTACGATTAGCAAACCGATTTGGACCGCATCGAAGCGGAATAAACCAAGGCTACTAGTTAATTTCCGTCCTTTTTTTTTTTCTTTTTTTTTTTTTTTATTATAACTGAGAATGAACGAGTACGTGACATCGTTCCGAACAATTCAGGCCAGGTGGTTCGATGTCTGTCCGTCTCTCTATCTCTTTCTCTCTCTTCTCTCTCTCTCTCTCTCTCTCTCTCTCTCTCTCTCTCTCTCTCTCTCACTTTTTTTTACATTTGCGATCGTTTTTCCACTATGTGCTATACGATGAATAGAACTATTTTCTGGCTCGTTTGAACTGTTTGCTTTAATAAAGTGAGACAGACACACGGAACTAACTTACGTAAAAAGCGATTGAGCATGTTGTTTGTCGGAAAATTTTAATTATCAAGAGAATGTATATAGTTGATTGATTATAATCGTAGTTCGTGCGTGAAAGAGAGAGAGAGAGAGAGAGAGAGAGAGAGAGAGAGAGACAGAGAGAGAGAGAGAGAGAGAGAGAGAGAGAGAGAGAGAGAGGGAGAGAGAGAGAGAGAGAGAAAAAGAGAGGAAATAAAATCGTAATAAATAGTTAGAATGTCATCATTAGAACAATTCTCATAATCGATACTGAGTCATACTCGACCGATCGGTGAGTGCGCCGGTCAAACAAGTATTTTGCCTGTCCTACTCTCTACATTTTCTTACGTTAGGAAAGTAAGACGCGCCGTCTGGCATTCGTTTCACTTGTCACGCGAACAAGACCCCGGCAAATAACGTGCGACTTATTTGATAAGGTAAAATGGACGAGAAATAGAAAGAGGGAGAGAGAAAAAAAAATAGATAGATGAAGAGAAAAAGAGAGAAAGAGAGAGAGAGAGAGAGAGAGGTAGACCAGACTTACCTGTCAATAAGACGACCAAACACCTCAAAGTTGTTTCACCAAGTGCTTCGTACTTGTGACTGAATTTCGTTCTAATTCCGTTCCACATTATATCCAACGGTACGAATAATTGTAATCCGTAAGTGAATAATACTGCCAATCCGATCAAAAGTTTCACTACTTGTCCCAAACTAATATGAAAAGAGAATTAAAAATATTATTGTTATTATTATTATTATTATTATTATTATTTTTTTTTTTTTTTTAATACGATAATAATCATACATAAACGTGAATGTCCGACGTCAAAAACGATATATATATATTTAGATATTTTTATTATTCATTTTCATAATGTTATAATCGATTAAAGATAAAGTTAAAATTTAAAATAGTATTCCAAGGTTCATGGTTATGATATGGTATGTATATATGTATATATATTCTGACAATACCGGAACTTTGATAAGAAAGTTTATGTATAATTAACGAAATAGATAGGATAATGTTCATTTGCATTGTATATTAATTGACATTAATCATTTTTATTATTATTAATATTTCGAAGTAACTTACATGTCCTCAACTGGTATATTCAAGGTTACAGTCGCCTCCGTTTTATCCCCATATGCTAAATAACCGAATATACCTATCATTGCGTAAAGACCGACAACGATTGTCATAGTTATGTTGAGTACACCAGGACAACCGAGAAAATGTTGTGGCGTTTTCATACTGTTCTCCACTGGCATTACCTAAATTCGATGAAAGAAAAAAAAAAAAAGAGAAAATTAAAAAAAAAAGAAAAAAAAATTGTTACTCTTTGTTTTCTTTCATTTACTTTTTTTTTCCTTCTATCTTTTATTTTATTTCTAATAATGAAATCTTTACGCAAGAACAAAAGATCCTTTTCGTAATATTAAAAACTTACCACGCCTATTCCTTCGATGGCAAATACAACAGTGGCAAAGAAAATTGGTAATTGTTCCGTACTCGAAAACATTTCAACTTTATCGATAGGCTGAATGTCCTTGAAAATATAATATAACGTAACCGAGAAACCAACCATCATGCTGATATTAGCGACCATAGAAAATGGTACCATGTATTTGAGATTTCGTATTTGTCCCAATAAAATAACTGCCGGTATCAATGCAAGCATCAATTGACCTTTGTTTATCGTATTCTGTCCATTATAATGTTCGGCAACCTATAAATAATATTTATCGCCATATAATTATTCTCTTATATATATTTATATTACTAAATAGAAAATTGATAGGACTGAAAGGAATTATGATTATATATATATTTGATATAATTAAAGTTCTCTCTTAGTTCTAAAGATAGAACATGAAAGAGAACAAAAAATAAATGATAAAAAAAAGAGAAGAAAAAAAAACAGAAAAGAAAAAGAGGAAAATTTAATTCCCATAGAAATACGAAATAAGTTTCTGACGATCGAAAGATATTTGAGTTTAACGATAAAACAAACGATAGAAAAAAAGAAAGAAGGAAAGAAAAAAAAAATACAAACAAGAAGAAATATTATATAACAAAATGAACGATTAGATGAGTTTTAATGATGATTCAATTGGATCAAATAATTCATTAATTAATTGATTAATTAAATTAACTAACCTGATGAATCGTTGTTGCAATGAATACGATGTATACGCATGAACCACCAATGTAGGTCGCGCAAAGTGCAGTGTTTACGAATATTTTGCTTGCATTGGCCCAAGGTCGTAAAATTTTAGGTCCACAGAGAAAGGCAGCGTAGGCCGTCTCGGCGTATGTCATCTTTGGCGTTTTTGTACGTTTACAAAGTACATGAGACGAACGTACAAGTATGTGAACGCAATGTGCACATATTATACCGATTATTATCGTTCCTAATCCACCGATTAACAAACCACCGTTTCTAATTGCATTAGGCATCGCCAAGATTCCAGTACCAAGCGAGGATTTCAAAAGATGAGCCAACGAACCTAAGTCACTGCAAATCAAACGTCCAATCTTTTGAAATCATTTCAATTTATTTTTTTGTTTATTTATTCATTTTTTTCTTTCTTTCTTTTTTTCACTATCTCCTTCTTCTTCTTCAAGATTAATTTCTTTCCTTTAGATAAATTTTTCATTGCTATTTACTTAAGATTAAATTAAAAAAAAAAGGAAAAAAAAAAAGCTTCTTCCTCCATCGCTAAAAATTCCCAATCGATTATAATTCCAAAATATTATTTGAATTTAATAAATCTAAGATATTAGAAGAAGATTAGTGACAAAATGATTAATTATATTTTTATCATCTGGACGCGCGTTTTAATTAAGATTTAATTTGGAAGAAATATAGATTAAGAAGAATTTCATATTTATATTGATCGATATATTTTAAGACATAATTTCTATCACGTGTCAAAATGATCTTATAGTAGACGTAAGTCATTTGCGATGAAGAAAATAGAAAGGAGAGAGAAAAAATAATGATAAAAATAAAAATATATTCTTTCGTTATCTTTTCTCAGATATTAATCAATTTAACTTACGAATTGGTGTGTTTCTTGTCTCTGTTTTCGAAGGGATCGTAAAATTCATCCTTTTCGTTGTAATCACCGATCGAAATCGCTGAGATCTTCGTGCTAAAGGAAATAAAAGAAATGAAAAAGAAGGAGGAGAATTAAATGAAGGAATAAATGAGATTATACGAATTAATTCCCGTCATATTATCAAAATTAATCGTTAATCAAACGTATAGTTCGTTTCACGATAAAAGGAGAGAAGAAAAAAAAAAAACAAAAGA